CAACTCCTGGGCTCAAGCGAGTCTCCTGCCTCAGCCTCCCAAGTAGCTGGGACCATAGGCGCACGCCACAACGCCAGGCCATTCCTTGGATGCAGCCATCATTGTTGTTTGGCAGGCCTGGGCTGGGGATTCGAACCCGCCACCCTAGGTGTATGCGGCTGGCGCCTTAGCCGCTTGAGCCACAGGCACCGAGCCCTGAATGTCTTCTTAATGGTTGGTTTGCGTGGATTAAGGCAACATCCACGTGCTGTGTTTGCTGTCCTGTCTCATAAAAGTAATCATAATTACTTTTTTTTTTTTTTGAGACAGAGTCTCATTATGTTGCCCTCCATATTGTGCCCTGGCATCCCAGTTCACAGCGACCTCTGACTCTTGGTCTTAAGCGATTCTCTTGCCTTAGCCTCCTGTGTAGCCGGGACTACAGGCTCCTACCACAGCATGTGGCTATATTTTGTTGCAGTTGTCATTGTTGTTTAGCTGGCCTGGGCCAGGTTTGAACCTGCCAGCCTTGGTGTATGTGGCTGGCACCATAACCACTATGCTACGGGTGCTGAGTCAGTATTTATCATAATTCTAAACAGTTCTGGTTTGTGTATTTTTATTTTTTTATATGTATGTATTTTAGAGAGTCTTACTTGTTGCCCCAGCTAGAGTACAGTGGCATGATCATGACTCACAGCAACCTCAAACTCCTGGGTGCATGTGACCCTCCTTCCTCAGCCTCCCAAGTAGCTGGGACTGTAGGTGCATGTCACCATGCCCAGCTAATTTTTTAATTTTTGTTTGTTTGTTTATTTTTTGAGACAGTTTTATTCAGTTGCCCTCAGTAGAGTGCCATGACATTGTAGCTTACAGCAACCTAAAACTCTTGGGCTTAAGCAATCCTCTTATATTAGCTATCAGGTAGCTGAGACTATAGGTGCCTGCCACCACATCTGGCTGTTTTTAGAGACAAGGGCTCACTTTTGCTTAGGCTGGTCTCGAACTCCTGACTTCAAGTGATCTTCCCTTGGCCTCCCAGAGTGCTGGGATTACAGGAGTGAGCCACTGTGCACAGCCAGAACTGGAGCTTGGAAGGGGCTGAGCTGTTCAGCATCTTAGAGAAAGCCCTTTGGAGGAGAGGATGGCCATGTCCTGCTCAGCCTATGGGATGACCAGTGAGGGCTGTGCCTGTAGGGGGTGTGTGTGTGTCTGTCTTAGGTTTGTGTATGTGCATGCATGTGTGTTTGTGTGTGTGCATGTGAGTAGATTTTCTACCATTTGTACATGGAGAAGAGGCACAGGGAACATATTTTTGGCTTACGGCAGCCAGATTGGTGATGGCCAACCGAGGTCTAAGCCCAGTTGCCCACTGGAGAGGCTTAGCCATTGGGAGTGACAGGCAAGTTAGGCTTTAAATTAAGCAAATAGAATGCTTGTATTGGTTTTGCTTTATGCACTTTTACACATTAGCCTCAGTCAGCGGGGCCTCCACCTATAGAATGGGAAGAGGTATGGTGTGCGCTCAGACTAGTTTTTGAGGGGCTGGGAGCCCCCACCTGGCTTTAGGTTGTATAGAGCAGGTGTCCTCAACCTACGGCCTGTGGGCCACATGTGGCCTGCCTAGGACATTTATCTGGCCCACTGGGTGTTTTTGCTGCCGCTATCTGTCCTGCTTAGCAGCCGACCCGCCGTCCAGCCCTCTAATGGTCTGAGGGACAGTGAACTGGCCCAGTTTAAAAAGTTTGAGGACCCCTTCTGTAGAGTCTCATCCTGTATTTGTTAGACAGGATGCAGGCAGGCAGGTGCCTCCCAGGCCTCCAAGTGACACCCCTGCAGCTCCATCACCAGCAGCATCTGTGGCAGGGCCTCTTCATAGACAGTCCAGCCAAAGCTGTGCCTGCTGCGTGGGGTGACTCTGGTGACCGTGTCCTTTCTGGGCAATGGCTTCAGGCAGGCCCTGGTCGACCATTACAGCAAGTTGTCCGCAGAAGCAGCTCGGCGGGAGCAGAGGGCGCTGTGGAGAGTCCAGAGGCACCGACTAGAAAGTGCACGGCTTCGTTTTCTCTCAGAAGATCAGAGATGCATCCAGGTACCACAGCATCTCTGATCTTCTATCTTGTAGGTGGAAGCTCTTCCCTTAGCTTTGGGGCTCTTTGAACCCCTGGAAACTGCACACAGATGTATGTGAGGTGTCATTTTGGGCTGGTCTTTCTCATTGCTTTGCAGAAGGGCACTGTGCTACCCTTGAGTGACACCTAGTCACACAGGTACAGATAGATGGTAAGGAGCTTGAAGGTGCTTAGCGCCTCTGCAGCCAGGCTCCCAGCTCAGCCCAGTGTGCGTGACTGCTGTGTATGGTGGCTAGGTTGGGCTGGGCACCAGCTCCCCTACTCACTCCTTAGTTGATGCTCTTGTCCTGCCAGCATGAATTTCAGGGGGTACTAGAAGACGTGTTGGAGGGTCACAGGCCTCAGGAACCGCTACCGCTTGCTGTCCTCCAGAGTGCATGCTCCCAGGTGAGGGGCCAAGACAGGACCCAGGGTGCCCAAGTTCTGAGTGGGGTATGCTGGCCTGGCCATGTGCCATTGTCCTTGGTGCTTGCTGAGTATTGCTGAACCTGGAGCATGGGGTTAGCTGGAGCAAATGAGAGGTCAGACTGGGTCTGATGGCACTTGTGTTTCAGGCTACATCTCTGGGTCCTGAGCACCCAGACAGAGGCCAAGGCTGTGATTCCAGGCCCAGAAAGCGGCACTTGGGCACCTGGGACTGTGTCCATAGGCTGAGTGCACCAGTGTCACCATCCCTGGAGGCTACGGCAATGGGGACTTGCGAGGGGCTCCAGCCAGGGGACAAGGCTGGGCCCTTCTCTGCTGGCCTCAGTGTTGGAGACTTCCTGCCCATGCGCCTGGAGGCCGAGCAGCCTGTGCAGACCAGTGAGGCCCCCCTGCTGGAGGAAGTGCTGCAGACCATCTGTCCAGATCTGCCCTCTGCAGCTCTTGGGGAGACACCTGCAGCAGCCAGCACTCAGTCCTGTGAGCTGCAGGAGTATGATTTTAGTACCATCCTGAGGCCAGCTGTGGCCACTTCTCCAGGGACTTTCCAGGCTATAGAGGGCAGCTTGAGCAGCTCAGGGCAACAGATGTGGGGGGACACTGGCATGAAGCTGGGTGCATGTGTCCCTGACACACAGGTGGCTCTGCCTCAGTCATACCCACACAGCAGTGTCACTTCTGAGGAGGGGAGCAGCCACTCCACAGAGCAGCCCCTTGGACACATGTCAGGGAATGACGTTCCCACAGAAGGCTGTGTTCATGGAATGGCCCCCTCTCGGCCACAGTGGAAACTCCATCGTCATGTGTCAGATGCTAGCATCAGGGTTGGGGAGAACGTGTCAGATGTAGCCCCCTCTAGACTGCGGTGGAACCTCCACGGGCACGTATCAGATGCCAGCATCAGGGTCGGGGAGAATGTGTCAGATGTGGCCCCTTCTCGGCCACGGTGGAACCTCCACGGGCATGTGTCAGACGCCAGCATCAGGGTCGGGGAGAATGTGTCAGATGTGGCCCCTTCCCGGCCACGGTGGAACCTCCACGGGCATGTGTCAGATGCCAGCATCAGGGTCGGGGAAAATGTGTCAGATGTGGCCCCTTCCCGGCCACGGTGGAACCTCCACGGGCATGTGTCAGATGCCAGCATCAGGGTGGGGGAAAATGTGTCAGACATGGCCCCCACCCGGCCATGGTGGAACACTCGTGGACACATCTCTCAGTTCCCCATGATGCTGGGGACACTGTCGTCAGAAGCTGAGCCAAACAAGTCTGGAACCCCCCAGGCCTCCGCTGGCCAGGTGTCCTTGGCAGGCCTCAGTCCTGGAGCACAGAGCCTAGCCCTGGAGAGTGGGCCACAGTCCCCTGTGGAAACGGTGCTCTCAGCGTACTCCTCTGCCTCTGGCAGTGAGGAAGAGAGCAGCCTCCAGACCTCACCATCAGCTGTGGCCAGACCTCATACTCTGGGAGATGGTGTCCACGAGGAGCCAGGTCAGAGTGGGACAAACTGGTTGTCAAAAGTGGGCTTTGGGGCCAGTGAGGGCCACAAAGCCTGGGCAGGAAAAGGAGGAGGCAGCCTCCTCCTCCAAAGACCCTCAGGGCATCTTTGTTAGCTAGATCCTGAGATGCTCTTCTGGGTCCATAGGAGGTGCATCCTGAGCCAGGGCTGGCCTGCTGTCCCCTCAGTGGGGACATTGGTCCTGACATTCTTCCCCTACTTTTGTGCCCACCCAGGCCCAGGGAGGAGTGGAGACACTGAGGACCTCTCTGCAAGTTGGCCTCTGAACCCACAGGTCAGGGTGGGCACATTCTGGGGCTTTTGGGGATGCAAGGAGGGCTCCGTCCTCTAGGTCCCATGTGCTGTTTTCCTTTTTCAGCACAAGGGTAGGGAAACAGGGAGCAGCGCGCTGGGTCGGGAGGCGGTTCTCTGAGGCCTGCCTCTTTGCAGGAAGACGCAGCTGCCCAGAGCAGCCCAGGCTCTGGCAAGGAAGCGGTGGAGGCCCGGCGCTGGGGCCAGGAGCAGACCTACCTGAAAGGCCTGGCCACGCAGTATCCTCTGGAGCGGTATCCGGACAGCTACGAGGCCATGTGTGAGTGGACAGGCCTGAGCGGGCGGTAGGTGGAGCCGCGCGCCAGCGTGACTGACAGTCTGGTTTCCGCAGCGGAGCCACCTGCTGCTCACCTGCTACACCACGCGCTTCCTCGGGCCTTCGCCTTCCCTGTGGACCCTGAGGTCCAGTCAGCCGCGGACGAGACTGCAGTGCAGCTGAGTGAGCTGCTGACGCTCCCTGTGCTCATGAAGCGTTCGATCACCGCCCCGCTGGCCGCCCAGTGAGCGCCCAGTCTGCCCCGGCTCCCTTGCCCAAACTCCCCCTGCGTACCTCCGCCCGACACCAAGCTCCAGGCCCCGCCCCTACGCCACGCCCGTGACTCCAGGCCCCGCCCACAGCATCTCCCTAGTGAACAAGGCTGCTGTCGACTACTTCTTCGTGGAGCTGCACCTCGAGGCGCACTGCGAAGCGTTGCGGCACTTCCTGCTGATGGAGGACGGCGAATTTGGCCAGTCACTCAGTGACCTGCTCTTCGAGAAAGTAATGGCACAACCTAGGGGAAGAGGTGGGGAGGGAGGGAAAGTGTGGAGCCTCGGCCCTGCGGACCGGCTCGGGACTCCGCCCCTTTCCTGCCTCAGCTTGGGGCTGGGCTGACGCCTGGGGAGCTGCTCAGCCCGCTGGCCCTCAACTCAGTCCTGAGCAAGGCCCTGCAGTTCAGCCTCCATGGGGACTCTCCGCACGCTGCCAACCTCTCCTTTGCTCTCAAGTACCTGCCTGAAGCGTTTGCGCCCAACGCCCCGGACGTGCTGAGCTGCCTGGAGCTCAGGTACAAGGTCAGCGCTGGCCCTCATCATGTGGACGTGCGCTGCGTGAGCCGAGGGCCGCTGCTGAGTGGGACTTGCTGAGCAGGTGGACTGGCCCCTCAACATGGTCATCACCGAGAGCTGCCTGAGCAAGTACAGCGGCATCTTCTCCTTCCTGCTGCAGCTGAAGCTCATGATGTGGACGCTGAAGGACGTCTGCTTCCACCTCAAGCGCTCAGGTGAGGCTGCCTGGGGCCAGGCCGTCGCATGAGGCCGCTGCTCACCCTGTGCCCAGGGCCACTGCTCACCTTCTGCCCTCTGCCCAGCCCTGGTGAGCCGGGTGGCCAGCTCCGTGCAGTTTCGCCAGCTGCAGTTGTTCAAGCACGAGATGCAACACTTTGTGAAGGTCACCCAGGGCTACATTGCCAACCAGATCCTGCACGTCACCTGGTGTGAGTTCAGGGCCAGGCTGGCCGAGGTGGGCGACCTGGAGGAGATTCAGCGAGCCCATGCTGAGTACCTGCACAAGGCCGTCTTTAGGTGAGGCTGGGGTCACAAGGGTCCTGTCCCCAGCCCCCAGGGTGCCACCCAACAGCGCACCACCTTCCTGCAGGGGCCTGCTAACCGAGAAGGCGGCACCGGTCATGAACATCATCCACAGCATCTTCAGCCTCGTGCTCAAGTTCCGCAGTCAGCTTATTGCCCAGGCCTGGGGCCCGGCCAGTGGCCCTCAGGGTGCTGAACACCCCAACTTTGCCCTCATGCAGCAGTCCTATAGCACCTTCAAGTACTACTCCCACTTCCTGTTCAAAGGTGAGTGAGCCCCTGTCAGGCTGGGGCCCAGAGCTGTGGGCACAAGTCTGAGCTTCTCATTCACGTGACCCTCAGTGGTGACCAAGCTGGTGAACCGTGGCTACCAGCCCCATCTAGAAGACTTCCTGCTGCGCATCAACTTCAACAACTACTACCAGGATGCCCGAGGGCCTCCCATGCAGGGGACGTGTGGGAAATAAAGGTGCCTCAGCCTATCATTACCTCTACTCTGTCTTGGGCTGGGCACAGGGTAGGGGGAGGAACGACCAAATGGAGGCAAATTTGAGGAAACTGGTGGTTTATTTAGGGGCCTGGGAGACATAAGTAGTGGGACCGAAGGAGCCACCTGTTGGTGAGACCGGCAGCCCTGCCTTTCCACACACACGGCTGAGCTCCCCTCATAGGGAGCTCCCTGGGCCATGCTGCTGAGCTGATGTCAGACAGAGACGGGTCAGGTCCTGACTGGGCGACTCTGCCGTCACAGAGAGACGGGCAAGGGGGGCAGCCTGGTGCCGTCTCGTGACTCCACAGCACTTGAGGGCCTTGGAGACTCTAGGAGCCTGGAGCACCCAAGGCCTTTATGAAGATCATGTCACACACAGTTCTGCTGCCCAGAGTGGGGGCTTGCTGCTGTAGGAGGGCCTCCTGCTGGCTGCCCTGCTGCCATCTTTGGGCTCAGCAGCGGCTCCCCCCCCATTGTCATAAGGGGTCTCCAGCAGCTTCAGCACACGCTGCACCTGAGGGACATCAAGGATAAAGAGTCTGAGGCCACCCCTCCCTTCTGGGGACACATTAGGGGGCTGGCAGGCATGCTTGCCTCTGAGAAGTCTCCACCCTCAGCAGCCTCGATGGCAGTCTGTGCAATGTAGTTCCTCAGCACGTACTTGGGGTTGTTGGCACGCATCACACGGATGTGCTCAGCCTGCCAGGCGGCCATGTCCTCAACATACTCCATGTCCTTGTCGAGCCGGGCTCTGGAATCACATCTGGTCTGGTCTTTCCCAGTTGTGGCCCATGCCACCCCTGGGCCATCTGCAGCCACCGAGGCATGGTGCCCTGGCAGCCACAGGCTCACCTGTACTGCTGGAGCCAGCCAGCCCAGTGTTCCCTGTTCTGGCTCTGCAACTGGTCCGGGCTTAGCTGCTCCAGCCGTGCCTGCTGCTCCACACGCTCAAGCTCCCTTGTGATGTTTGCCCGTGTGCCCATGAGTGCAAACAGCTGTGGGTTTGACTGTGCCAGCATAAGCATCATGGAGACCTGCCTGTGGAGTATGGGCGGTGCAAGGTGTGTCTTGGGGCTGCTGGGAGGGCCTGTCTCCAACCTGGAGCCCTGTTGGGGGTGAGCCCAGGTGGGCACCCACCACCCATGTTCTGCAGAAGGCAGGGACAGTGTCTACATGGACAATGTCACCTATGTCTTAACTGGATGCTTTTCCTCCTGGAGCCTCACTGACCCCTGGGGTTTGATGCCTGTGGGGTGTCTGTTGCTATTAGGACTATTCCCAAAGGCTTTGCACAACCTCAACTGCCATATTCCTTTCTGTGACCAGAGGTAGCTGCTGCCACAACCAGGACTGCCGTATCATCCCCCACTCTGTGGGCAGCTCTTGCTGTAGAGAGGCAGTGTGGAAAGGGTGGCCTGAGGGCCTTCCCCATTAAGCCATAGACTATTCTGAGAAGCCCACCTGCAGCAGAGCCATACCACCCCCACACCTGTGTCAGCATTTGTCTAAAATGCACCCCAATGCCACAATAGATAGGATTGGATTGCCTCTTTCTCTGGGAGGGAGTGACCACCTGGGTCCTCAGACATATCCCTAGAACCCAGCTAGCTCTGTCTCCATATTCCCCTCAAATCCACATTCTGAAAAATCCTCCCTTTCTGGAAACAAAGTCCAAGGAAGCAAGACCCAGATACCCACCTGGGATCCATTTGGGGTCGGAAGGCAAGCCTTAGCTCCTCCAGGGAGGCGCATTGTGCGGTGAGCACAGCCAGGAACTCCTCCAGGTCTGGTGACTCTCGCTCAGTCGGGAAGGAGCTCAGTGAGTAGAAGGTATTGGTGAAATCGGCACCTGGAGCACAGACAGCTCAGGGCTGGGGGCAGTCGTGGGCCCCACTGTCAGACTGACCCATAGCCTCTGGGCAACACGTGCTGAGACCTGCTCAGCAGCAGGTGTTAAGCACCTGCCCCCATCAAGCCCCCATTCCTTGGTTTCCACCCATCTGCACCTAGTTCGACTTCCATTCTCTGTGGACCTGCAAGTTCTCTGAGATATCTGCTGTGGAGGGCACCTACCCTGCTGTCATCACAGTCACCACTGCCTCCTTGGGGAGCTACAGAGTACTAATGTGAAGCTGTTGTAATATGCCTGGCCCAGGCCAACACCACAGATACTGTGAGGTTCTCAACCTGATTTGTTTAAACACAGTCACTTGTAGTCACATGGACCTCAAGATAGTGTCTAAAAATTAAATGTGAAAGAAACCAATGAGGGAATCGAAATGGTACGTTGCCAAAAAAAAAAAAAAATCAAACAGAAAAGTTGGCGACAGGGCAGTGCCTGTGGTTCAGTGAGTAGGGCACTGGCCCCATATACTGAGGGTGGCAGGTTTGAACCTAGCCCCAGCCAAACTGCAACAAAAAAAAAATAGCTGAGCATTGTGGCAGATGCCTGTAGTCCCAGCTACTTGGGAGGCTGAGGCAAGAGAATCACCTAAGCCCAAGAGCTGGAGGTTGCTGTGAGCTGTGACGCCATAGCACTCTACCGAGGGTGACAAAGTGAGACTCTCTCTAAAAAAAAGAAAAAGAAAAAGTTGGCAATAATGGAAAAAATGAAGAGTAAAAAAGGTATGAGACAGAAATAGCAAGATGGAAGAAAGTACTTTAATCCATTTACTTTTACAGTAATTACTGGTAATCTCTCCACCAAAAGGCAGATTGGCAAAATGGATAAAATGATACCATTCAACCACATGCTGTCTGCAAGAGACTTGCATTATATTCAAAGATATTAACAGGTTGAAAGTGAAAGGATGACAAAAATACTTGGCTGGACTCAGTGGTTTAGGCCTATAATCCCAGCACTTTGGGAAGCCAAGGTGGGATGATCACTTGAGGACCGGAGTTCGAGACCAGCCTGAGCAACACCGCAGATCCCATCTCTACAAAAGATGGGAGGAAAAATCTGCCCCATGTGGTGGTGTGTGCCTATGGCTGAGGCAAGAGAACTGCTTGAGCCCAGGAAGCGGAGGCTGCAGTGAGCTAGGATGACAACCACTGCACTCCAGCTAGGTTGACAGAGTGAGAACCTCACTCAAAAAATAATCCAGTGAAACAGTAACCTAAGGAGAGCTGAGGTGGCTGTACTATATCAGATAAAGCCAAAGAGTGGCATTACATATGGCTAAAGAGTCAGTTCTTAGGACATGGAGAAAGCCAAAAGAAAAAGTCAATTCACAAAGATGTCAATGTTATAAACATGTACTAAACAGCAGAGCCTCAAACTACAAAAACATGTACAGAATTGAAGGGGGAAACAGAATATGCTACTTTTAATAATGGACAGAATATCTAGAGGCCAATAAAGAAACAGACTAACCCTTGAACAGACCAGACTCTCCCTTAAGCAGCTCTGTGAGCCAACCAGCCAGATAGTACCCACTGCCAGATGCACTCAGGACAATCTTCAGGGGTGGCCATAGATTGAGCCACAAAACAAGTCTTTAAGACTGACATCTTTTCCAATCACAAGGTTAAAAGGAAAGAAAACTAGAAAATTTACAAATAATACAAAGATATATACTTTTAACAATGGGTCCCAAAAAACTGCAAGTGAATTCAGAAACTCCAGAGATGTATGAAAACAAAAGAAAAGAATAGTTGTAAATGGCTACATTTAAAAAGGAGATCTCAGGCTGAGTTGGTGGTTCACACCTGTGGTCCCAGCCCTCTAGGAGGCTGAACTGGGAGGATCGCTTTAGCCCATGGGTTTGAGTTGCTATGAGGAAGGCTGATACCACGGTCTCTGGCCTGTGTGACAGAAAGTGTTTCAAAAAAAAAAAAAAAAAAACACCTCAAATCAAGAACCTAAGTAATGAGGTAAAAGAAATCAGCAAAGACCAAAGCTAGCAGAAGGAAATAATAAAGCCTTGAGGGTGATAAATGAAGAGAATAGAAAAATAAGAGAAAAATCAAATAAGGGTTCTAGATCAACAAGCATTTTTAGCTGTAGTGATAAAAGTGAGGACACAACTAAAGTCAGAAATGGAAGTGGGAAAATAATAGAATATGAGAGAATACTATGAAAAGATAAGTAACTGGCTCGGCACCTATAGCTCAACTGGCTAAGGCGCCAGCCACGTACACCTAAGGTGGCAGGTTCGAATCCCCAGCCCGGACCCTCCAAACAACAATGACGGCTGCAACCAAAAAATAGC